TTACCCCTGTCGCACGGCCGTGGCCAGCATCGTTGTCATCGTCGTCGTTGAGTCCAAACTCGTCCATGAGTGCGCTGATGTCGTCTTCAACCGCATCCGCAACTCCGCCGCGACCGGACAACTCTTCCGGCCGGTCCTCCTGCCAACGGGGCCGTGGTTTTGATGTTGACATTGGTGGTGGTGGTGGTGGTGGTGGTGGTGGTGGTGTGTTGGTGTGTTGGTGTGTGTGTTGGTGTGTGTGTTGGTGTGTGTGTGTGTGTGTTGGTGTGTGTGTGTGTGAGGGGATGATGCATGCACACGTAAATGTGTGTGAGACAATGTGGGTGGTACACAATCAAGCAAGTCATTATTTCCACCACCACCACCACCGCCACCGCCACGACCACAATGAGTGCCTGCAAGCACAAGTGCGCACCACGTGTGAGGAGTGGGTGTGGCGAGAGGACGTCGACGGTGTGCGGATTTGCGCCGGCCGGAACATTGAATCTGTTGGATGGATGGATGGTTGGTTGGTTGGATGGATGATTGGTGGCGTTTGAAGTCGTGGTGACATAATTGGTGGTGAGATGAGCCAATGCATGCCGTGAGTGCACACTTAATTGCTGTCAGTCGTAAAGCCTGTCGCCAGTGAATACCAGAGTCACACCAACACTCCGTCGCAACACTCCATCACCCACACCAACCATCACCCACACCCACCCCCCGCTTTCGTCTCACATGAAGCCTGTGCCATCGCCTCCGTCTTCTTGAAGTCGATGTCCGCATATGCGCTCGAGGTCGCGTTGCCCTGACGCGGCGGTGTGATCGAGAGCACAGTGATTGGTGGTCATGGTGGCGGTGTTGTAGTGGGGTTGTGTAGACGGGGTGGTGGGGTCGCAAACGTGTGAGTGGCAGATAACAGGTGTATGTATACACATCGTATACACATGCACACACACAAACACACACACAAACACACATACACACAAACACACACACACGCACAAACACACGTACACACAAACCTGGTCCTCTGCGTGTGTCTGCGTTGCGGGCTGCGACTTGGCGGTGATGGAAAATTCGTTGCCACCATCGCTCCCATCGCTGTCGTCATCAAACTGAATCTGCGTGTACCTGTCATGTCAGTAGTGTCATGGTGGTGGTGGTGTTGGCGAATGGTAGGATGATGCACCAACATGGACACGTGAGCGAGTCGGCGTGTCAACACACGAATTAATCAGCACACACATCACAGTCACACACACACACACACACACACACACACACACACACACACACACACACACACACACGGTCAGACGAGCACACGTGTACTCACGCAAGTGTTGCCTTGTCCGGCTGGGTCTGCCCGCCACTGCTTCGTTTCCGCTGTACATGTGCTTGTGATCGAGGCCGCTGCTGTGGCTGCGACTGCTGCGACTGTGGAGGGTGCGCTGGTGCACGGCCCTGTGTGCGTGTCTGCGTGTGTGTCTGCGCGTGTGTCTGCGTGCGTGCTTGCAAATGCGTCTGCGTGCGTGGTTGCTGCGGAGGCTGTACGTGTGTGTGCGCGGGTGTGTTTGCGTGTGTCTCCACGCTGACGTTTGAGACGGCGCGTGACCGCCGGTGACGGCTGTCTGTCGTGCTCTCCCGGCCACGAACCGACCGCTCAGACTGGCCGTTGCATGCAATGGGTTGTTTGTGTGTGTTTGTGCGTGTGTTTGTGCGTGTTTGTGTGTGTGTGTTTGTATTTGTGTGTGTGTGTTTGTGTAGTCATGTGAGAAAGAATACTCTGCTTGTTTCTCTCCTCCAGTGCACCCATCTCAGCATCAAACACCATGACCACCACCACCACCACTACCACCATTGTCACGTACGCCGAGAGAGACGACGGGTGCCTTCTGCTGCTGCTGCTGTGTCTTCATGGGGATGTAGTTTGCAGCGCTGCCCTCGCGGATGGCACGGTCAACAGCAGACGACACATTCACGTCGTCCTAACACACGCGAGTGGCGATGAGGCGTTGGTGAGGGCGAGAGAGAGAGAGAGAGAGAGTGTGTGTGTGTGTGTGTGGGGAGGTGGGGAGAGCAACAACTTGCTTCACTTGATTGGCTGACATGAGGAATGGGATGCGCAATTTCGCACAAACACACATTCACACACACACACACACACTAACTCACTCACTGACTCACTCACTCACACCTACCAGGAGCTTGAAGGTGAACTTCTTTGGTCCAAGCTCACATCGCCGGCCAGCTTCAAATGCAAAGTGACGCTGGGCCTACAGTGCGCGTGCACCAAGGTTGGTGGTGTCATGAGAGCGTCTACACAGCCCTTGCTACACATATCCAAACCCACACCCACTCTCATGCAAACTCACAGTCCGTCTTCTCGTTCACGCTCCCTGACGTACGTACGCTCTCATTTCACACACACAAACACACACACAAACACACATACACACACCTGTCCATATCCGCGGAGGTATGCGATGGGGAACCTTGCATACTGCACAAGCGACAGCAGTGTGCAGGGCGGACACGTTCTTGAGTCGGTGAGCTAGTGTGCGTTGTCGCGTTGAGTACAAGCACACGGACGCAGATATTGATATGCCCTGTTGTGTGTGCGTGTCGAGACGCCAGCCGCGCACGTGCACACAAAACACACACACGTGCACACACAGACACACACAGACACACACAGATACACACAGACATAGGCACACACACATAACCGCCCTCCACCAACCTCGTGGGATTGCGGAGCCGCCGTTTCACGAAACACGAGGCAAGGGAACTGCAGATGAAGGTACATGGCGCCCGTCAAGGGTTCCGTTAAGCCTCGGACCTCATACGCTGGTGAGCCTGAAGCGGACAGTGGTACAAAGCGGGGTAGAAGCGGGGGTGTTGGGTGAGGTGAGTGCTCCCCAACACAACCGCACAAGCGTAACGCTCGAACCCTCCATTGCAAGCACCTGCCACCACCAGCTACTCACACACACACACACACACACACACACACACACACACACACACACACACACACACACACACACACGCACACACACACACACACCACGCCACCCAGAACCAAAACAACAAGGCGGAGGACGCACTCGACATCTTGGCGATTTGTGAATGTGGTGGTCAATTTTCCACTGTCCTGTCATCCTTTCGCCAATCGCACAACTTGCTGAAGTGGTTGGTTGGTTGGTGCCGAACAGTGTGCTCTGTGTGACGTGTGGGTATGGGGACGGTGAACGCACATCTTGCGTGAATGCCATTGTGACACTGTGTGTGTGTGTGTGTGTGTGTGTGTGTGTGTGTGTGTGTGTGTGTGTGTGTGTGTGTGTGTGGGTGGGTGGTGAGACAGGTCGCGTCGACAGTTTTGTTGCATTCACATCACATTCATATATCAAGCAAGAAGCAAGCGATCACTGATACGTGCACCCAATTTCACTGTGGTTGTTGGTATTTGTTTGGGTTTCCTCGTTTCACTTCTCATCACCAACTAACGCAGATCGAAAGCCCCTGCCAACCAACACAAACTAAACCCCATCGGTAGGTCAACAGCAACATCAACAACCAGTGGCCAATCGATATGCCTAAAGCGCTGCATTGGGAGCGATACGTGTTGCTTTGACCGCTCATTGCTTCTGCCTCTGTGTAGCGGCGCTGTTCACACTTGGCTCGCTCACCACGAGTCACTGTCAAAGCCATTTTCCATCTTTGCGTCGCGATCTTATATCGTTTGAACGGAGGTGTTTCTTGTAGCTGCCTGTTTCGTCCATCTCCCACATACGCTCACACGCACCTCGACATCACCGCCGCCATCGCTTCCTTTGCTTTGCTTTGCTTTGCTTTGCTTTGCTTTCATCCTTTCCTTTCTTCTTTCCTTCTTTCCTTCCTGTTGCCTTCCACGCTTCCTTCCTTCGATACACTTTGATCCTCTTGACCTTTCTCTCTCCGCTGTGTCCCCCAATGAACCAAGAACACGACGCCATGCTGTCCCAAGTCTCTCGCCGAGTGCTCGCCACCGCCGGGCCCGCCCTCCGCCAGCAGCAGCGCCTCCTCACCGTACGCATCGTAGCGTGTGCGTGTGCGTGTGCGTGTGTGTGTGTGTGTGTGTGTGTGTATGTGTGTGTGTGTGTGTGTGTGTGTGTGTGTGTGTGTGTGTGTGTGTGTGTGCAACTTGTATGGTCCCCCTTCCGTGTTTGCCGCTAACGAACCGTTCTCCTTTCATCATGCATACATTGTATTTGAATCTGCATCAGGTGACGGTGTGTGGCGGGGGCAATGCTGCCCACGTGGCCGCTGGGATGTTCTCAAACCAAGGAGCAGAGGTCAAGCTCTTCTTCTCCTTCGAGGTGTGTGCATGTGCATGTGTATGTGTGCGTGTGCGCACGTCAACATATCACGCTTCTGTGATGCCAATACATGCATGCATGCATACGCGCATCACGTCTTCAGTCCATGCTGCTCACTTCCACACACACACACACACACACACACACACACACACGCACACACACACACACACACACACGCGCGCGCGCGCACACACACACACCACACACACAC